CCTCATATGGGATATGCCCACACTTTGAAACTTAACTTTGATCATACTGCATGGGCTGCACTTGCAACAGTGACAGTCAGTGAATATTTGTGTGAATACAGGACAGGAAGAGATGAGCTGCGATGAGGCAGGGATTAGAGGTACAATGCATTTGGTGTTCCTGCTGGAGCACACACTGCAAAGTGTAATAGAATGGACACTGGGGACACAGCAACAGGAGGAAGAAGATGACTTCCTGGTGCCCTGAGGTCTGCAGGATTCTTTCACAACTTACACCATGCATGTGAAGCATTAACAGGCAGAGGAAGAGCACAAGTAGGAGGAGGATTGGGGTGCTGGCAGTGAAGAGGTGGTATACGGGGCAGGCTTCCAGGGGTACTTTTCACCACTTCGAAACACCAGGAGTTATATGTGGGCAAGGCGAGGTCTTTGAGGACACCATTGTCCCCAACAGCACCAAGGACTTGGGTTCCTCTGCCTCTGGAAATTTGTAGTGAACAGGCTGCACAAGGACCCCAAATTTCATACCATGAAGGAGAAGGACCATTACTGGTTAGATCCCTGATGCAAGAGAAAAATTCCAGACCTTATCCTGTAAATACAGAGGGAGCACAAAATGCACCACTTGGAAGACCACAAAAACATTATTATACCTTACAGCATAACCATCTCCTGCCACTGTTGCTGGCCTGCAGCCTTTACCATCTCCTGTTACCATTACCAAATCCTAGCTACATTACTAGCTTTTTCTATGGATGCTGGCCTGACATCATAACCATCTCCTACCACTGCTGCTGGCTGCATTACCATCTCATACAGCCTCTATTGCCCTACTCCAGTGCTACAGAACTATCAAGGTGCCACACATAATGCTTCTACGTATTTAAGGAACACTATGCATAATATGTGCAGGATGTTACTTCTATTTTAATCTAAAAGTATAAACTTACTTTGGTCCTTCTCTGGGGCAACATCCAATGATATACAATGGATACACTGGATTGGATATACATCCAATATATATATATATATGTACACTGAGTGGCCAGATTATTATGACCACCCCATCAGTACTTCGTTGGGCCATGAGATGACTTCCTTGGGCAGCCTCGTGACTCCACGAGATGTTAAAAGGTGATGCAAGGAATCTGACACTGCACTGTTGCCCTTTTGTTGTCTTGTACCAGTCTTGCCAGACCCAGATTTTCGGCTGACAGTCCAGTCTTTAAACACTTTAACAACAGCTGCTCTTGAACATTTAACAAATTCTGCTGTTTTGCTGATACTCGCTCCATGGCTCCAAGCGCCAACAATCATCCCACGTTCAAAGGCTGTTAAATCGTGTGGTTTACCCATATCTTCAGAAAAAAATCACTTCTACAGTCGTGGTAAACAACCTGCTTCCCTATTTATAATGGTCTGGCCCTCTAGCAACTTCAGCGTGAAATTATAGCTAATTATAGCTAATTTGCCTACAAACGTCAGGTGGTCATAATATTCTGGCCACTCAGTGTATAGTACTGATCTGTATGTAAGCTAAGGAATATTGTAGAAGTAAACAAAAATTACACGTGCAAATTATGTAATGTAAGCATGCAGTGTCGCTGACGCCGTTGTAATTAAACGGCCGGACAGCGGCTTCTTGAGGGCGGGTGGGCGACTTTAAACGTCCTATCCCGTTCCGCTCGTGCCCGCCGCTAGGCGAAGCGCACGAGCGGGAAACCGGCTTTGAATGTAAACAGCCAGCAAACAGCCAGTTTACATACAAGTGGTCGGACGTCTCCGTCACCGCCGCTGCTGGCGATCCCGGGCTCCGCTGTTCCCAGTGTGAGCCCGGGACCAGCACAGCAGCTCTGCGGCTGGAGATCAAACGGAGCTCAGTGCTCGAGCTCCATTTGATCTCCTCCTCCTCTTCTGAATGCAGGCAGTGATGTGTATTACATCACTGCCTGCATTCAGTGCCACTCCCCGGTACAGAAACCGGAGAGAAGCTGCTGATGCAGGTTTCCGCTTCATCAGCTTCTCTGGGGGTCCCTAGGTGACATTAGGGGTCTTAAAGACCCCTGATGTCTCCATAAAGAGAACCTGTCACTGCAAATTGGCTATCACATAGGGAGCTTGTTTGCTCCCTATGTGATAGCAATAAAGTTCAGTGAAAAAAAAAAAAGGTTTAAACAAATTTGTTACAAAAAATAAACCACCAAAACAAAGCTCTATCTGTCCCCAAAAAATGGTATAAAATTAATTTCAGTACAGCGTTGCATGACGGAATAAATGTCAGTCAAAGTACTGCAGCGCTGAACACTGAAAAATGGCCTGGTCAGGAAGGGGGTCTAAACACCCCGGCCAGCAAGTGGTTAAAGGCATCTCCCAAGCATTCACTTTGCAGGATAGGTGTTTTTCCCATCTCATGCTGGAAATCACATAAAGCAGAAGGTCCTCTCCCCGCTGAATAGTATTTCTTAAAATATTTTTTATTGCATTTGTACATGTCCCCCATGGCAGTGGTCAGCTCTCCATGCCCTGTGTTTAACAATCCCTTACCTTATTAGTCTTGAAAATGGGTAAACCGCTTTTTGACTCAAATGTGGTTCAGATTTAAGATAGCAATTTCTGGAATTTATGATGAGTTTAAGCACATTCGGTCATCGCTAAAGAAATACATTTGTTCGGTATAACAAGGTACAAGACTATGGGGTCTATTCACAAAGCTGCCGAGGGCAGCCGAGTGAATGACCGATCAGAAGTGAAGTGAGCCGAACACTGTTCGGCTATTCACTTCAGGCTGGTACGGCTGATTTCAGAAATCAGAAATCAGAAATCAGCCGTACATCGGCTTGCTTCGTGTGGCTTCGGATCAGCCGAACATGCTCAGCATGTTCGGCTGACCCGAAGTGCAGAAGGAGTTCGACTCAGCCGATCCAACATCTGGATCGGCTGAGCCGAACCTCCGGCAGGCTTCACACTGCTGTTCGGGCTATTCTGAAAGATCCCGAACAGCAGTGAGAGAATAGCCGAATGCCAACGAGCGGCATTTGGCTCGGCTGTTCTGCTCGGTCCCTCAGAGGCACCGAGCAGAACAGAAAAAGAGTGAAAAAAGTAGAAAAAATTACATAGAAAACGATTGTGCAGAGCTAGCAGTGACAGCTAGCTCCGCCCAATAGTTTCCTATTGTCCGGCGGCTCTGCTGCTGTAAAAAAAAAAAGAGTTAAAAAAATGTAAAAACTCTCCCTGGGGCCCCGGGAGCCCCCCGCTCCCGGCCGCCAAGGAGAGAAACACAGCTGTGTCTTTTTTTCTTCATTCTGGCACGAGCGATGTCAGAATAGAGGAAAAAAAAAATTCCCATTCAAAAGCATTGAGAGTTTACTATTGGCTATTTCAATTTGCAATAGCCAATAGTAAACTAGCATTGTTCCCGCCCTCTGCTGGTGGACCTGGTGGGGAACTGCAAAAGAGGGCGGGTACAATGCTAGTTTACTATTGGCTATTGCAATAGAAATAGCCAATAGTAATGTCCCAATGCTTTTGAATGGGATTTTTTTTTTTCTCTATTCTGACATCGCTCCGTGTCAGAATAAAGAAAAAAGACACAGCAGGGTTTTTCTCCTTGGCGGCCGGGAGCAGGAGACTCCCGGGGCGCCAGGGAGAGTCAGATGCTTGGAGATCAGTGTCCCTGGTTAGCAACCAGGGACGCTGATCTCTCTGAAAGTGGCCGGAGCCAGCCGTAAGATCACGGCTGGCTCCGCCCAGCTGTCAGAAGCAGGCTGTCGGCCGGCCAATGGCCGGCCGCTCGGCCAGCTTCGTCTTTCAGCACGGCTCAGCGCTCGACTGAGCCGCTCAGCCATGATCGGGAGCTGTACGGGCTATTGTGAATAGCCCGTACAGCACCCCCTCGGTTCTCCTGAACCGAAGGGGTCCTGGTGCCGAAGCTAGCCGAAGGATCGGCCAAAGCTACGGCCAGATCCTTCGGCAGCTTTGTGAATAGACCCCTATGTAAAAACAGCATTGCTATTGATTTGGGTTACATATTAGAAACTCAGTAATATACTACTATAAATTGTACTTTTAACCAAAATAGACCATTAAAATAGATTAGAGATAAAATGGCATACTAGGTAATGATCATTGATGTGCACCTTGCATGAGATTAATTAGTGCCAACAAAGTCTGATTTTATACCAGTAGGAGTAGGAAATGTCTGATAGAAGTTTTGTTCCTTGGCAATAACATCTCTTGTGCACCTTACAAAAAGGTTTGTATTTGGTTTCAGTCCTACAAAAACAGCCATCGCCATCAGGCAAGGAAATAAAATCAGCATTTTAGGTCAATGTGACAGACAATTCAGTTTGCAAGGAAGATACATTACACTTAGATCCAGACGATAATTTATTAGACAATGGACAAAGAGCACATCTGCTAATAGTGGGTACTGTTTTAACTACATGGATAACTTCAATCTGAACACATACTAATCTAGTGATTGTACATTAAGATATTGCTAATAAGATACAGTAATAATAAAATGTAGTTAGTATGAAACTTTTCAAGCTTTTCTCTTCATTAATACAATTTTTCCCAACATTTTGGGAATGTTCCTAGAAAAGCAAACAGTGAAAACAAATTGCAGACCTATATTAGTTTGGTAAATAGCATCTGATAAATAAAAATAACTCTGTAATTTTGCTTTGGATGACATACTTTAAATGAAGAACTACACCTAGGAGGAGATAACCCTGGGAGTTGCAACCATGACCAGGTGCACCTGGATCAGAAGGTTGCATCCGTAAAGGGCCAGCATACTCTGTACACAGACACCCATGCAACACTTGTCTATGTGAAGCCTAGCTCCTCATGTGTTTGCAAAGCCTCCTAGTGTGCCTTTTCAGTGTCCTGAGCCTTCCTTTGCCTCTACCTCCACTGACTGACTCTGGCTTCTGGCACTGTTCCCGGTATGCTTCATTTGTCACTCCTGGTCACTAGCACTGTTCCTGGTACATTACTTCTGTCACTCCCAGCCACTGACACTGGTACAGGCATACTCCAACAGTTGCTCCTGGCCACTGGCAACATTCTAAGTATGCTTCACCTGTCATCCCTGGTGGCTGGTACACTCCATTTGCCAAACTCTGCTCCTCCGAGCCTTTGCAGCCAGGCACCACTCCTGGTACACTCCATTTGCCAAAATTTTGCTCCTCTGGACCCTCAGAGCTGGGCACATCACATTGTCTCTCTTCGGTACTTCCACCAGCTCTCTGTTTTTTCACCTGCCCATTTCCACCAGTGGTCCTATTGCATCTTCCTGCTGCGTCTACCAGTATCTGGGGAAGCAACCTAGGGACTGAGTCCAAACCCATGTGAGGGGGTCCCTGGTGAATACTGCACACCAGTTAGACTCTGTTCCTTGGCGAACCCAGTTATAGTCAGAGAGGATCCAGTTTACTCTGATTCACTGGATTGGTGACAAATAGGCTGGTAGTGGCAGTAAATGGGGTGCGCTTCTACTCTGGAACATAATTTGTCTTTAAATGGATTCTACAATCTGAGAATCCAGCAAAACTTGCATAACAAACAAGTTTCAATTGCCTTCAAAACCGTGTACTTCCTAGACTGTTAGACAAAAGCTGCAGTGCTATATTATTGTGACATGCACATGAAAGTACAAAAATTAAACAAAATGTGTAATTGAAACAGGTACTTGCATTCGATTCAAGCTAAACTGCCCATGCGACTCCAGATGTATGAACTGCTATTTCTTCTACAAGTGGGGGTAATGCCATATATTAAAAAATTTTCTTGTGAATATCATGGTGGGACAGTATTTTGCACCCACAGTAACATAGTGTAGAAGAGGAGAGGCTTAGGCGTAATAGCGTGGATAATTGTGTGCATAATAAGAGGTATAAGTTAGAAAAAAGTATCAATTGATGACTCATTATTCAAGCATTCCAGTAACTATGCTAAATCAGCCAAGGGCAAATACGAAAGTCAGAGACACTCATGTTTATGATTGTTAACTTTTCTAATTAGTTCTGACACTGAGATATAATTTAGGTAAAGTATTTCCCATTATGCCTCCACTGGCTAGTAGATTAATCTTCCCGCATCAAAGGCTTGTGGCTGGCATGCTGCATTATTACTGACAGCTGAAGGTGGTGGAAGATGTGAGCACCATTCGGGAAATTGGGTAGGGGGG